TGTTACTATGTCTAAAAATCCGACAGACACTGCGCAAAGATGTTGCATCTCTGTGCCGAATTTATCATGGGGAGTGTTCTGAGAAATTATTCGGAGTGGCGGTCTTCCACCGTGCGTTTTTCAAGGCACTTTCTTCCATGCACAACCATTCTTTGGAATCAACTTCCAGCAACAGTATTTCCAAACCGATACGACAACATAACCTTCAAGAAGAAGAGTATATTCCTTTTTAAAAGGCCAGCAGCACACGTGCAATGCCTCTGATGTTGTGGGTGATCATGGGCGGCGGTAGTCATTTACCATCAGGTGAGCCGCATGCTCGTTTGCCCCCTGTGTTGTAAAAAAAAAAGACACCCCTGCTTTGCTATATATTTTCTTTGTATGCCCAACAATGTACTCTGGAACGAGGATGTTCGCAAAAGAACTAAAGTAACAGACATAGCCCGAAGGATAAGCAAGCTGAAATGACAATAAGCTGGTAACATAGCTTGAAGAAAGGTTCTTGAGTGGCGACTTCAAGTGTTTTTTTTTTTTTTTTTTATAAATACATGCAGATGTTGACTATATAATAACGTTCGACATGTTTAGCCTGTTCGGCATACAAAAATATGTGGTTACACAGATAGTTCACATTATACATCAAGTCCATTTTATACCATTAATCGTCATCACATTACAATTTTCAAATAGGTACATTTAAATAAATAATAATTGTCAGTCAAAAATCAAAGAACGATGTCACAATGATGTTAATAAATATAAATAAATATTCGTTTTGTCAGATTTTATCATTAAAGAATTCACATACGCTGTAATAACATTTATCAATTAAGAATTTTTTTAATTTATACTTAAATACATTAGTTGATGCATCCTTTATAGATTTTGTTAAACGACTACAAGCAATGATCAAATTATAAGAACCTATCAACAACAATATAACGCGTCAGTTGAGGGAGGAAAGGGATTGTTAGTAATGGGGACTGAGAATCCCATTGCTAGCAATATACATAAATAACCTAACCCAACCAGGTCAACCTCCTCGCGCTCCTCCCTGGAAATTATCATGGTTAATTCCTGAAGAATTCATCATGATGGGCTAACTGGTCTGTTTTCATTCTCATCTTTCACCCTTCACTGGTGCCCCGCCAGCGTATCCCGTTAGCGCAGGCGGGGTTACCATAACATTTTCACCCATCAAAAAAAAAAAGCGTCAGTTGGCAAAATCATTATCATTAAACGACAAATCATAATTCGAATAGTCGAATAATAAATTATTCCAGTAATTCGTCCACCAATTATGACCGTGATAAGCGAATTTATCTATAGATAACCAGTTCCACGTAAACACTGTAATATTTTTAGTAACGCTAAAGACATTTGGTCAGTGTTGACGTGTTGTGACATTATTTTAGTGGACGGATCGATTGTAAATACTCGGGTAAGTGCTTGTAATTAAATAAGCGTATTGGTTGAAGGAATTATCAATAACGGGGTGTAATAACCCCTAATAGAGTAATAAAGAAAATAATAGAAAATATTTGTAATTAAAACTAGTAATGCCCCGCAGCGTTGAATGTGTCAACGCGTTATACATTTTATTTTAAAAATCAGAATATTTGAATTTTATATATATATATATATATATATATATATATATATATATATATATATATATATATATATATATATATATATATATATATATATATTTGTTTACAGAAATGCATTCAAAACCATTCTTTCATAACTTGCACAATTAAATGTTTATATATATATATATATATATATATATGTATATGTCGGCGCAAAATAAAAAAAATTCTATTGACTCGAGACACAAGCGCAAAAATGGAGGGGAGCGCTGACAAAACGTTGGAGCTCTATTACTAACTAAATAGCCACTAATGATATAATTTATTATTTATCATATTATTTTTGCTATATAATTGTTATGCTTTATATACAAACCTTAAATTTGTAAACCTTAATTTTGAAATCTCTTTAAAGGATAAGTCCGCCTGTGTACATACATTTTTGTTATAACAATATAATATTAAATTATAATATTATTGGTTATAACCTAGTATTTATATTAAATGTGAATGTACAAAAGCATATAAAGAAATATATGCCGCCATGTGGTCCCGGCATAGAATAGACCACCCTTTCCTTTCCCGAGTGGGTCGTTAGAGAACTTAATGGTCGAGGGACGAGCAGCATCGTCCCTTTTAAAACACCATCAAAGACTAACTACGGCTGCCAACCCGCCTGCCAAGCGTGGTATGTATTAGTAAAACTCCCCTTATCGGAAAGGCCTACTATATTCAGCAATGGACAATTAACGACTGATATAATAATAATAATAAATGTATAATTTATATAAATACAAATAAAGAAAATGAATTTGTAAAAATATAAGTATATAAATTTCTATACTTCATATAATTTTCTCCCGTCCACTTGTAATTATCGAAATAAACATATGATAAACAAATACCATATCAGTTCAATCGCCACCCGGTTCCCTCTGGATATCATTCGTCGTAGTTAATTATTAATGAATTCGTCACCGTTCGTCAATGCTTCTTAACCTATCATCTCTCGCTGGTGCCCGCTAGCGTATACCGATAGCACATACGGGGTTACTATTCCATTATCATCTATTAAAAAAAACCGTACTAAATTCTTTAGTTACTGTACATAATATACTTATACTGCATACATAGTATACTAAATAATTAAGACTCTACAGAGTCTTAATTATTTAGTTATTTAGTTACTTGTACTGTATATTTATCTTTTTTTTTTTTATATTGGAACTGAACTCTGTTTTTTTAACACTTAACCATCCTACTCGTGCCTAAATAGTTTTGAAGGCCAGTTGTGTAATTAACAATAATACCAAAATTAATTCAGAGTACTTTTATGTAAGTGAATTTGCGATAAATAAAATTAAAAAATGTACTACTTTCGTTATGTGATTTTTTTTATGCAACTTAGACGGCATACAAGCTGATAGCCCACCTGACGGAAAGTGGTAACTGTCGCCTATAGACATGAGCAGTACCATGGACATAACAGAGTATACTGTTTCGTCCATGATAACCCCTCCCCCCCCCCCATTCGTTTCCATTCCTGAGGATTCAGGTGTTATTCCTCTGTACCCAGTAAATTCAAAAATAAGTAGTCCAAGATGAAACTGAGTGACATACACACAAAAATAGAGTCAAATAGAGTTCCTAATTTTAGATATGAGTTAACAAAGCTCGTTACAATTTTTACTAACACCTAAACTCATATAGCGAACTCTTAAAATGCCAGGTTAATTTCTTTATGGCCAAAAAATACCAGTTACCGACTACAAAAACTGAACCATTAACACAAACTGCAGTTAACAGAGAGGAAGTACACTAATTAGATAAATAAAGCGCTCATTTAACGTGTTTACGCGAATGAAGAAATATACACGGGCTTAGCATCTACCTATTAGGCAATGACCCACATTGCGTTATGTGCTCCTAGTACTTTAAAGTTATAATCCACTGACGTAAGTTTATTATTTACTAACTGTAACTGTAACCCTGACTGCGCTATCAATATACGACGGTGGAGCAGCACCATTGATGGAAAATGGAAAATAGGTGAAGATGAAGACAGGTCAGATAGTCCATCATCAATAGCGGGCTATGCTCGTCAATGGTAGCTCGTAAAGCTGAATAGGCCTTCCAGTTTATGTAATTTTACAAACTATTCATTTCACATTTTTACAATTACAATTTACAATAGACATAAATAAACCAGGGTTAAATTATTAGACAAATAACCGGTGATATGCTTTTCCGCATGATAACACCTAGTTCAGTAAAGCATTAGTAATGTATTCAATCAGGCCGACTTCCAGGTGGCCTCTAGTTGATTTTTGATTCGTCACATTGGGCCTACTAATCTGCTTTCATCCTCACCTACGAGCTCTCACTGGTGCCCTGTCAGTATATACCAATAATGCAGGCGAAATTACCATCCCATTTATCATTCAAGTTACCAATGTATTGGTTACTATAATCTTTGAATTCGATTCAGTATTCTTTATTTACCTCATTTTTAATTATTTCCGTATTACATTCTAAATAACATAATAACTTTTTTTTAATGGGATATAAATGGAACGGTATCCTCGCCTTTGCTATCGGTATACGGTGGAGAGGCTGTGGTGAGGGATGATAGGTGAGGATGAAAGCGGTTCCGTTAGCCCATTGTGATGAACACATAAATTAACTATGACAGTTTCCAGGCGGAAACCTTGTGAAGGTCGACCTGGTAGGTAATAATATTGTTAGCAGAAAGGAAAAGGGATTGTTAGTAATGCGGACAATCAGTCCCATTGCTGGCAATATACCCTGTCAGGTCGACCTTTTCTTGGTCCTCCCTGGAAACCATCTTGTTGAATGCCAGGTGTATTCATCACGGTGGGCTAACTGACCTGCCCTTTCATCTCACCTGTCATCCCTCAGTGGTGCCCCGCCAGCGTATAACCGTTATCGAGGGCGGGGTTACCATTCCATTATCATCCATTAAAAAAATTTTGCAATCAAACTATTAGAGGGGGGAGGGGGATTGTTAGTAATGGAGACTGAGAATCCCATTACTAGCAATATACCCAACCAGGTCGACCTCCTCGTGGTTCCCCCTGGAAACTATCATGGTTAATTCCTGATGAATTCATCATGATGGGCTAACTGGTCTGTTTTCATTCTCATCTATCACCCTTCACTGGTACTCCGCCAGCGTATTTCCGTTAGCGCAGGCGGGGTTACCATTCCACTTTCACCCATCAAAAAAAACAACCTATTAGACCACATTACTAGTAATTCCTTTCCAAAACACTAAAAATGTCAACTAAAATGTCATCCAAATCCAGATTTTCCTTGAGCGATAACTCCAATCGTCCGCAACTTCATAGTTATGATTCATTAAGATCTATTTAGTAAACTACACTTCAAATCACCGAGTTTACTGAACCAGTGCGCACGCGTTACTGTACTATAACACTGTATTGTATTCCCTCGATTGTTTATGTGTTCATTTAAACGAAAAGAAGTGAATTCTATTAAGCAAATCGTCGCGATTTAGTTTGTGGTTGCTGTTTTGAATAATGATTATGTAAACGTGTTTTGGACTTTGTTACCGTGAGTATTGATATGTATTTAAATGGTTAAGGACAGCCGTTGTTACATTCAATAGATTAGAATACAACAAAATAATAATAAATGATACATAGTAGCCAGTTCGTAGAAACTTGTGAACTCTCTTATCTGTTTCTTTTTTTTTTTGTGTGTGTGTGTAGATGGAGTCGTAATTGTATTAAAAAAATAAGTGTAATATAATAATCTGTGTAACTAGTTATAGACAACTTTATAAAGGAAGTACTTAGTTCTTGATTCAAAGGTTTGTTTTTAATTGAATATCTTCGTTAATTATTGTCATTGTCAGAATAAATTGTTATAGTGTTTGTACTGCATTAGTTTTGTTGATATAAGGTTTTTTTTTTGTGGAACAAAATCTTAGGTAAGATATGTTTTTTTTTGTGGGTGATAATGGAATAGTAACCCCCACCCGCGCTATTGGTATACACCGGAGAAGGATGATAGGTGAGGATGAAGCAGGTCAGTTAGCCCATGGTGACGAATTCAACAAGAATTGTTCACGATGGTCTCCGGAGGAACCACGTGGAGGTCGACCTGATAGGGCATATTGCTAGCAATGTCGAACTCCATTGCTAACAATCCCTTTCCTCCCTAATAGGTATGTATACTCATATGTGTCCTTCCTTTCCCGTGGGTGTTGTAAGAGGCGACTAAAGGAACTTAAAGGTCGAAAGATGGGTAGCAGCGTCCCTCTCAAAACATCACCAAAGTAAAACTGCGGTTGCTAATCTATTTGCCAAGCATGGCAACTATTGACATAACCCCCCAATCAGAGGCCTATGTTTAGCTGTGTATGATAACGGCTGATATGATGATAATTATGACTCTTATGTGTAATCAAAAACATAAACGACAGTAGGTAAAAAAATATAATATATTTGTTTTCCAAAATTGCTTGTTAGTTTATGCGACACGCACATTTAAACCGTTATTTTATCATAAAGATTTTTGACACACGATTCTGCGTTCTAAATTCAAATATTTTAAATATTTATAAATTACCTCATTTTTTATCAATGCGTTTTATTGATTTTAAAATAAGAATAATAGTATTCCTTTTTTTCTTTAATGGCCATCTGTCGTCATTTTTACGATTATTTCTGCCAACGTCATGTACAAGAGGCTTGTATGAATATATATAATAAGTATATACATTTGTCACTTCCTTCATCTTTTTTTAAGTTGAAATACAAAAATATTCACATTTCTTTAAAAATAATTCGCGCTACTTCTTCGTCCGCCATTACTCCGGTGTATAGGTCTGAATAAAAAGTCAAAATACTATATAATACGTATTACTAATCAAATTTATGTTGTCATTTTTGAAATCGCTTTATTTGTTGGAAAAAACTGTTCATTTATACCATACCATATCAGCTATTGACTATCCACACACTTCATAAGATAGAGCCTCTTCCATAAAATGGAGAAAAGCGTTTTGTCAGTAGATTTTATGTTATAAATAGAAAAAATTTCAATTTGACAGCTACATTTATTTTGTCATCTTTTTAAAAAAATTAAAATTATTTATAAATAATTAATTAACAAAATGATCCGTAATTATATAGAATTCATTTGTAAAAAAAAATGTGATAAATGAAGAACCGCTCGACCGATTTTGTGACCAAATAGGCAACTTTAAGAAAACTATCTTAAATAGTCCGAACAAAGCCTAAACAAGATGGTTTGGATAGAAGCGAGAGGTTTGTTTGAATCTTGAGTTATAAAATTACAACGAAAAGTGGCATAAATTTTTATATTATGTAGATATTATTAACTCTTTTCGAAATAGGTTAAATTTAAATACAAATGCTTTAAGTATAGGTCACAGGCCAGGTTGTTATAATCAACAATATGTATATACAATAGGTCATTTTGTAAAACAATAGAATAGTTTAATAGTTACTTCGTATTATAATTTTGTATTGCCTTAAATATAGATAGAGCGTTGAGTCCTTCCAAAAACGCGGTTCAGTGGTTTTTATCAGACATAATTATCAAATTAGCTTGCTCTTTGATCGTTTTTGAAAAGTATATTTATTTATTTAAAGAATAATTGTACAGCATATTGCATTAAAACATATAGTTTTTATTTCTATAACAAACATACAGACAGACAGACAAAATTGTAATGATTGCATTTTATCAGGATATTCACAGCATAGTTATTTTAAATATATTATACATGTAAGAAAATTAAGAAATCTCAAAAATAAACATATTATCTATAGATATAGATAATATCAAAAAATAAGATTATGAGTAATTAAATATAAAAAAATATATATTATGACAATTAGAGTTAATTTTCATAAGATTGTTGTACAAAGTGCTTCAGCAATTTATTCCTGTAGGAATTCGAATTATCGTTTATAATTAATTATTTAATTATATAATTAATTAATTTACTCTTTTTTATTAATGTTCTATATACTTACGCACTCAATGTATCTATATTTAATTATTTTATAAATAATTTTAGTTTTTACCTATTTTAAATTAAAGAAATTATAAGTACAAAATAAATGTAGAAGATATAAAGGATATAATGACGTCATAACTATTTATCGATCGAGACAAATTAAAAACAAAAAAAAAGTGATCCGAAAACTCTAAAGAGAGTTGAATGGAGACACTGTCTATCTAACCTAAGTGTGATATCCATTGGTAGTTGATCAATTATCGATGGAGGGTTTGATTAATTTAAATTAAGAAAAAAATATATAATTAAAGCAAATTGTAATTAAAAACTATCGTGACAATTATATTCGTTTTCATCTTGAAACCCTGATGGCGGAATATAAAAATCGCCTACAGGGGTTATCCTAAAAGCTGAAAATTCTTCAAGTTGTATGTATTTTTTAATGCTAAGTCATAATAAAATAAAAATAAAAAAATTGTCAAAAAAAAAAAAAAAAAAATTTGACGGTCCACCTGATCAGAAACGTGGTGAAAAATAGATGTTAGCCTATTCTCAGACCTATCAATATGCACACAAAATTTCATAAATATCGAATACTGTTTCGGAGGAGTACCCCCATGCGTTGCCACGAGAATATATATATATATATATATATATATATATATATATATATATATATATATATATATATATATATATATATATATATATATATATATATATATATATATATATATATATATATATATATATATATATAATATTTATATGAAGATAATTATAATGAAAATAAAGTGTTCATTGCTCGACATGTAATGATAATAGCCAATTGCTGCGACCTTTGTTCACGCGTTTATCGATTATATATATATTTTTTTTATTCAATACCCTGAACTAGCAATAGATAATATAATAACAATACTTATATATTTGCCCGATACCAGAGGAAGACTTTGTACAAAAGTCGATTGCTTGGGTACCTCTGTCCCATTCGTGTTTCTACCGTGAAGCAGTTGTGTTTGCATGGCTGTGTTTCGGTTTTAAGCGTGGGCATATGGCAGTGAATTTACAGGATACAGAGGAATAACATCTGACTATTCAGGAATGGCAACGCATGGGGGTATATTGGGTGAAACAGTATACTCTGTTATGTCCATGGTACCGCTCATGTCTATAGGCGACGGTTACCACTTTCCATCAGATGGGCCGTCAGCTTGTTTGCTATTCTAAGTTGTATAAAAAAAAATGTCGGTTGTTCAATTTATAATATCGAAATCAATACAGATATCCATTTAATATGAGCAATATTGTAATAGGTAATACCATTTTACCGCTATCAATATATAAACCAGGGGGGAAAGGGATTGTTAGTAATGGAGACCGAGAATCCCATTGCTAGCAATATACCCAACAAGGTCGACCTCCTCGCGGTTCTCCCTGGAAGCTATCATGGTTAATTCCTGACGAATTCATCATGATGAGCTAACTGGTGCTCCTGAAATGCTCCTGGTGAAAAATCTCCATATTAGGAATATAAAGTATTTCTAAATCAACCATATAGAGGGGAAAGGGATTGTTAGTAATGCGGACTACCAGTCTCATTGCTAGCAATATACCCTGTCAGGTCGACCTCCACGTGGTTCCCCTTGGAAGCAATCGTGAACAATTCTTGTTGAATACGTCACGATGGGCTAACTGACCTGCTTCATCCTCACCTATCATCCTTCACTGGTGCCCCACCGGTGTATACCGATAGCGCAGTGTATACCGATGGGGTTACCATTCCATTATCACCCATTAAAAAAATCAACCATATAACACTATTTAGTATTTAGTAAACAATAATGCCATGCCTTTATTTTTATAAATGGTCAATTAAAAATAAAACGTTGAAAAAAAATATATCAGGAAATAAGTGTGTAATAAACATAATAATTCTGTATTTACCGTTACCTTGATAAAGTAACTTAACAATGTTGTTTACAAAACATACTACGTAAGCGTAAAGACAAATTATACTCGTAGTTACTCGGACGCCATTTTGAATTTTCACAAAAAATATTTTCTTCTGCACATATTACGTTCGACGATCACGATAACCCTTGTAATTAACACGTAATAATTATACCATTTTCAATTAAATTACTGTATTATTTAATTAAACAATAATACTCAATCTGTTATTGTCACTGCAAGTACGATAAATGCATAGGTATTATGCAAGTTGATTTTGTTTTTATCATCCATACCATGAGCGCAATGTAGTTATCATCTCAGGCATTACCTATACACTGCTGAACATATTTCTCCACCATAGATTGCATAAGAAACAGTTCTAAGTCACCTGCAACCATCCCTACAGTAATCCAGACTTGCCGCAACCTTTCTTCCCCATCGGTTGTACGTTTATCGAGCTATGTGAGCGGCCCATTACCACTTCAGCTTGCTTATACTTCGAGTTATGTTAATCACTTTGATTCTTTTGCGTATATCCTCATTTCGGATCCCATCACGCAGAGAAACTCCAGGCATAGCCCTCTCCATAGCTCGCTGAGTAATTTTGAAGCTTTTGCATATAGGCAACCGTCTAGGACGTAGCGTTAACCTAGTAAATTATTGGGTATCGATGATTATTTGATACCTCGATTGGGACTACGTTATAATCGATTTTTAACTATAAATCTACTGTAATTAACTAAGATACAATCGATATAATGACTATAATTTCTGGTCTTTGACAGAAGTGTCTGGATATGACCGACATCTCCATACCCACTTGGTGCAAGGCGATCACTGCAATCCTATTTTCTTTAACACCCCATTCCATATTGTAAGTTGATAATGAACACGTAAAAATATGTGAAATTGCGCGAAATCGAAAGAAGTTTTTGAAATAGTAAACGTGTTCCAAATTCAAAATAATTAAAAAGTTGGAAAAAAACAGAAACGTTTTTATGTAACAGTATTTATGTCCAGACTAGTACTTATCTAATATATAAAATTCTCGTGTCACGGTATTTGTTACCAAACTGCTCCGAAACGGCTTTACCGATTTCTATTACATTTTGTATGCATATTGGGTAGGTCTGAGAATCCTCAATGATAAGGGTGACCCTCCCCAAAAAACTTTTTTTTTATTTTTTTAACAAATTTTTCCATTTTTATTTTATTATGATTTAGCATTGAAAAATACATACAACTTTAAATTTTCATCGTTTTACGATCAACCCCTGTCTTTTAATCGCGATTTTTATATTTCGCAATAAGTGGTAAAACAACGTTTACGGGGTCCGCTAGTATATGTATATTATCGACAAACCAATCGATATTTAGATTATTCTAGATAGAGAACTAAGGATTAATTACGATCGATTATTAATAAACACTAGTGCAGCGTGGTACAGTGCATGAATAAAGATGATTGCGCTATCAACTTTATTGGTGTTGGAGGACTGAAACGCATTATATTATTGCGAGGAGTAGCACTCAGCTTGGATCTCCATTAACTAGTAATAATGCTAAAATAGATTTTACCCGAAGTTGTTATTTTAGAACTAATATCTATATTGATTTTAATAAAGATTTTAGGATTGTTATTAACGAGTTTTCATGATATAAAAAAATACATAGATAAAAAACTCATTTTATTTATTAAATAATTAAATATATAGATATAAAAAAAAACGTAAAGATACATTTTGATCCATTTTTGCGTATATCTATATATAGGAAACAAGCTGGTAAAAAATAGACGAGTCTATGGACATAATTTGACAATTACCCTGATAAAAATTTTATCCATTTTTCATGAGACTCGAAACACGAATCTATATAATCTAAGAGTCTAAATATAAATTAAGAGCTAGGACTTTTTATCTCTCAATGTCTGTATTAATTTACCACTTGCATCCCCTTTATCTCGGTTTATTAGTAAATGTCATCTAACTATAGTATTAGCACTCCATTCTGTCTCTAATTCATTAAACTTCTTGCCCGAAAATTATAACTCATCATTCCAAAATGACCTGCTAATCATCATTTACTCCTTTTTATTTTTCTAGAACGTCTCTAGTTTTTTTTTCAAAAGTTCCTTCTAAAAAGTTCTCAATTCTTTTTACAATTGATAAGATTTACGTGTTGGTTTTTACTTTAATTAAACGCCAATTAAAGCTACATTGTAGAGTAAAAAAAATCTTATTGCAAAATAACATTTTATTAAATAAAGGTTGAATTTAATATTCAATAAATAATATTTATATAAATAACAATAACGAGATTAATAGTAATTGTTAATTTTAAAGTGTTTATAAAAAAGTTAATCCAAAAAATCCGTCTTATTCTAATTTTCCATGCATGATATAATAGGGAACATACTCAGCCTAAATACCAAAGAGGTATGAGTTCAAATACCATCGGTTCGACTTGTTGGAAGGTATTTTTTTAACCCAACATTAATATAACATTCCCAAATGTACGGTTATGCAATAAAATATTTTCAAACGTTAATTTGTCTCCTTTACAGCCACTTTTTCTCGAATTAAAATGTATTAAGCACGGTTATAAAAGGTTTTATATTAAATTCTTAATATAAAGTAGGTATATAAAATTATTTTATACTATCGAATTGCATAGTTTAAGTGACAAGAGAGAGGAGTAATGGGTTTTGACATTTGGTTGAGTCATTTTCGTAATATAAATACATAATGTGATATTTTATAACATTTTCGATCTATCAGATTTAATGGATTCAAAGAAGATTGTCTCCTTCAAACGTTTAATATATTAAAAGAGGCATCTAAAACTACAAAGCTATTTTAACACCGATTCATGTTAACAAAACTGGGAGGTCATAAAAATTATCTGTAACCTGTATTTTCATATAAGTGGCAATAATGTTGTAATTCTATTATACTTTATATTAATTTTTTTTATGTAACTTAGAACGGCAAACAAGCTGACGGCCCACCTGATGTAAAGTGGTAACCTTCGCCTATAGACATGAGCAGTACCATAAATATAACAGAGTATACTGTTTCGCCCATGATATCCCCATGCGACTAACACTCAGGTTATGAAATGAGCTCCCTATCGAGGTTTTCCTAAGAGACTACCGCATGGAGTTCTTCAAAAGGTGTGTAAAGAGGTTTCTTCAGGGTCGGCAACGCGCGCGTAATACCTCTGGTATTGCAGGCGTTTATAGGCTACGATAACCGCTAACCATCACGTGGGCCGTATGCTTGTTTGCCACCTCAGTGGTATAAAAAAAATCCTGAAGACACAGGTGTTATTACTCTGTACCCTGTATATTCACTGCCATATCCCACCCTTCAAACCGAAATAATTAGTCAGCCATGAAAATATATGTACTTCACGATAGAAACACGAATTAGGACAGAGGCCAATGATATCTCATGTTTATAGGCGACGTTTTTGTTAAACCCTTTCCATCAGGTGGGCTCTCTTTGTTTATTTGCCATTCTAAGTTGCATAAAAAAACCTGCAAAAGTATTTTTACTTATTAAAAAAATAAATAAATAATAAACGAACAAACTCTTCTTTTATAATAATTTAAATAGTAAATATAATTTATATAAATAAATAAAAATAAGTACACAATAATCAGGATAATAAGATTGAAAACCTTACAAGTGACAATAACAATTTATAAGAAAATTAATTTGTAATAACAAAGATAACATAAAACTACACTAATAGTCTCTTAAGAGATTTAGCGTGAAGGCAAATGATTATATTAGTAATTCCTGTATCCTTTGTTCCAGGTAAGAAGGACTACAAGTCCACAAAATGGCGGTAATTAGCAAGGAACTGTTTGAACGGGCCTGCGGAGATGTGCCGTGCTCCGTAATAGTACATCCGTGGAATGAAAGCTGCCTTCGGGCTTCACCGGAGACGTACTACCAGACAGCAATTGGTAGTATTAAATTTTACTCCATAGTTTATGCGGTAAGTTCGTTTGTTTCTTATTATTGATACTAAATTTTACTTTACACTTTTTAATTTGGATGTAGATATTGGGTATGCAATACAGTCGCGTACTGCGCGTTTCAGAGATGCTTCCTCACACGAATGCTCAAGTTGTAGAATGAGGTTCCTATTTTCGAGGTTTTTTGAGAGACTACAGTGTAGAGCTCTTCAAAAATAGGGAAAATGACAGGGTACCAAAGAGGGATGATAGGTGAAGATAAAGCAGGTCAGTTGGCCCATCGTGTCGAATCAACAATAAATCAGTCAAGATGATTTTGATAGTATATTGCTAGCAATGGAGTCGTTAGATTCCATTACTCACAATCCCTTTCCCCTTGGTAAAGAGATTTCTTCAGGGTCAACGCGAGGTCACGGCAACGCGCGTGTAATGCCCCTGGTATGGGGGGAAAGGGATTGTTAGCACTGGAGTTTGACAGCCCCATTGTTAGCAATATGCCCTATTAGGTCGACCTCCACTAAGGTTTAAGGAGGTTCCTCTTGGAAATCATCGCGAACAATTCTTGTTGAATTCGTTACGATGGGCTAACTGACCTACTTCATCCTTATTTATCATCCTTCACTGGTGTCTCGCCGGTGTATACCGATAGCGCGGGTGGGGTTACCATTCCATTTTCAACCTTAAAAAAAAAAGACCTTCCCCATAAGGGAAGTTTTGCCAGTAGTTGGCTTGGCAGGCAGGTTGGCAACCGCAGTTAGGCTTCGGTGATATTTTAAAAGAAACGCTGCAGCCCATCCCATGTCGAAAGTACGACATATGAAAGGAAGGGATGGTCCATTATATGCTGTGACCACATGGCAACCTATGGTATGGAATATAATAATATTAGGATAGAATTTTCGTGAAATAATATTAATAACAAAAATATTTAAAAAATTGGAGCTTCTACACCCACGAAATGTACCTAGAATTTTTAGTTATTTTATATATATATATATATATATATATATATATATATATATATATATATATATATATATATATATATATATATATATATATATATATATATATATATATATATATATATATATATATATATATATATATATATATATTTTAAGAGAGACCTTACTGCCCATTTTTCGTCCATTAAGTTCCATACAACTATTACTAATAAAAATACTAATATAAAATGCCATTTCAGGCACAACTACTAATGCAAACAAAGAAATGGAAAAAGAAGGAGTTTTGGAAGAAAATGGGCGAATATTATATAAGATCAACATTACTGGGAGCCGCTGTCACCGGCACATACGCCAACATGAGTTGTTTTCTTAGGTAAGGTATGTGATGAAATCTCTCTTATAAGAATGTTCATTACAATTTATGCATCTAAGAATGAAAAACAAGTTCAATCAATGGATATAACTGAATGCTCTATGATGCTTATAATACCCTAGTACATTGTGTTCAATTTATATCATTTTTTTTTGTATTTTATAGAAAACCTATAGTTGTATTTGCATGGCTGTGTTTCGATTTGAAGGGTGGGATATGGCAGTGAATTTACAGGGTACAGAGGAATAACACCTGAGTTCTCAGGAATGGCAACGCGTGGAGGATATCATGAGCGAAACATTATACTCTGTTATGTGCATGGTACTGCTCATGTCTATATGCGACGGTTACCACTTTCCATCAGGTGGGCCGTCAGTTTGTCTGCCATTCCAATTTGCATAAAAAAAGTATAAGTACTTACTGGATTTGTTCTGCTACCTTTTCTTCAGTCTCAGGACACTAGTATTTTTACTTTTCGAATTTTTTTCTTTAACACAACAGCAGACGTCGCGAGTTTATTTTTAACTGTCAAATTAATACTCGCATTGCGTGCAATAGAGGGCTCTTGTCGTTGTACAGCATTAATAGGGAAGCAAATTTTAGAGAGAATCATCGGTTCTCACATTGATATGCTTAAGAACTATGCTATTTTTTATTCTAATAATTAAGAATGGAATGATAACCCCATCTGCACTTTCATGAGGAGGCGAGGATGAAAGGTCAGTTAATCCATCGTGTTGAATTAACCACGATAGCAGATCGAGCAAATAGGGTATATTGCTAGCAATGAGGCTATTAGAACCCATCACTAACAATCGCTTTCCCCTCTATCTATGTTGTTACGCCTCAGAATTCTGTAATTTAACCACAATACCCGCTTTGCTAATTGAAACACAGCCATGCAAATACAGCTGCCGGTAGAAACAGGAGTGCAAAAGAGGTACCCAAGTAGATGATCTACAAATTGACTCGACATTTTATCAAAATACTGGTTTTGTCACAACTGAAATCTGTTTTTTTTGTTTTGTGGGGCACAATATTTAATTGCTAAATCCTATGTTCATTTTAACAAAGTAAGCTCATTAAATTTCCGTTATCCAATTGTTTATGAAGATAATCATTTCATCGTTAATTAAATTTCCCTTATCCAGATAACCCCTAATGGGGTAGTTAAATGTATTTTTCGATTAGCTATCCGGCTTCGCACGGGTAAATAGAATTTTCGAAAATGATATATTGTCCATGTTCATCATCATCATCATCATATCCGCCTTTAACTGTCCACTGCTGAACATAGGCCTCCACTCATAAAGCGAGGTTTTGCCACTAGTTGCCACGCTTGGCAGGCGGGTTGGCAACCACAATTAGGCTTTGGTGATGTTTTAAGAGAGACGCTATATAGCTCATGTTACTCGTTGATAATGTAGTTTTCTACAGATAAAAGAACTTTTAACCGTCGGTAATGTAACAACCAAAAAAATAACGGAAATTTTATTGTTTAAATTATTTTTTTCACTTTATAATATTAATATAGAAGTATAGATAGTTAATTTGCTTTAATATTAATGTTTTCCATCGTCGAATTTCCACTAGCTAGTGGTAAAATTTATTACTGTAATCTCAAGTGTTTTCTATGTAAAATTTATAATAAATGGCAAACTGAAAGGTCGAAGGATAGACATAGATAGCAGTGTTGCTCTTAAAATGTCATCAAAGTCTAATTGCGTTTGCCAACCTGCTTGCCAAGCGTGGCATCTACTGGCAAAACCCTCAATGAGAGGAGGCCTACACTAATACATAATAACATTGATATTCTATTGTGGCCAAAAATGCATCTAAGCCTATCAAATATTATATCACAACTTATGTTCTTTTTTTAATCGATATCTGTACATATGTATGTATATACATATGTAACGGGAAATTAATGAACACACTGTTTTCCCGTTTCCGACAATTGTTTCGACTTCATCCGGAAGTCTCCTTCAGAGGGCGTACTGCGATTTGCGTCACAGCGTTAGTAATTTCCCGTTACATATGTATATAGACATCCTAAATAATATAGATAGAGCATCGAGTCTCAAAAACGGGTCAACTTTTTGTCAGCTAATTATCAAATTAGCTGACTCGTTTTTTTATCAGTGTTCACTTACGCACACAATTACGCACACAATTTATCTTGACGTATCTATATTTAATTATTTAATAAATAAAATATGTGTTTACGCATTAAAAAGATGCAAAAATTATAAGACAAAATAAATATAAATGTTATGAAGGTATCATTCATAACTATTTATCACGCAAAATTCTATGAAAAAGTTGGCCTACTTTTGTCAAAGCATTTGTATGAAGACAGTCTGTCTATATAATCTAAGATAGATACCTATCAAATAACTACTTCATACCTTGTTCCAGATGGATGCTGGGCAACAAATTCACATTTTACACCTACAACCGGATACCGTTTACTTTGACCGGGCTATACATTTATCTGGAGCCGCCCAGTAGACGAAGTTTAATTATTAATTTATTCTTCAATTTGGTACGTATATTGTTTTTAAAAATTATTTATTTATTTTTATTTATTCTTTATTGTACACAAAAAAATTACAAACATATAATATATATAAAATAAATATATACTTCAGCAAACCCTGAGTGGAAAGGAGCATTAATTACCAGCGGGCAGTATGCGTACAATAATAAAATAATTGTTTGATACCTATTTATATATGTAACGAGATATTAATGAACTCATTGTTTTCATTAATACCATAATGACTTCATTAATTTCCCGTTACATATGTATATAGATATTGGTATATCTTTTTTAGTCATTTTGCCATAATAAATACAATTCTTGATTACACAATATCGATGAGAGTTTATTTATTTAATCAAAATAGAGGTAAATGGCAACACTTCCTATCTCAAACACTATGAAAATAATGTATTTCAGTTTCTAAAATTTAATTCAGTAGTGTGGGCGAAAGGACTGTATGCTGGTATGGAAACACGGTGTTTTAGAAAGATAATATAATTATATAAAAAATATACATATCAAACCAACGGAGTCAAAAAGCGAAGGCAAAACAAAACCGAAATTGACACAGACTTCAAATTATAAAAAGAACATCTTTTTAATAAAATTTAAAAAGAAACTAAAAAGGTGCGTCGTGCACATCGTCTAGGACTAAAGAAAAAAAAGATTAATTATTTACAAAAATTATTAGTCGAAAACTAAACAAAAGTAATTATTTAGTTCTAACTATCGGCACTAACTTTTTAAAGGACGCCTTAACGTTCCTGATACCGTTTGAACATCAGCCACACGAACAAAATTGTCTCTTCCAAGAAACAGAGCAACCACGTGACCTCGCGGCCATGTACCTCGGGGTAAATCTCCATCAGCTATAAGAACAACATCTTCGATAGAAATACTTGGTGCTGTAGAGCTGGAACTTGAACGACGGGGCAGTAAACCGGGGAGATATTCTCTTACCCACCGGCTCCAAAACATGTCACTTAGTCATACAGCAATTCTCCAGTTATTGCGTGAATTAGATCTCTATTGCAGTGTCGCTGGTAAGGAGCTGCCAGCTGTGAGCAATTGATCGCACAGCATTGCGTAATCCAAGAATCCAGTATTTTTATCGAAGCTCGTTAACAATGGTTTCCGTATTTCCATGAGGAGTTCGAACATGATAATAATGAATTAAAGGAGAATACTTGGATGTTTCCATCTAAAAAAAATAGAAAACTTAGCTTCTTCATTGACATCTAAAACCGCTGTAATACGACCAGAGATGTATAAGTTTGTTAGGACCAATATGTGGTGACAGCTTGCGGAGACGACTCTGAGGTTAAGTGGCCGATTATTTGCAGTGCATGCAATCTTGTCTTGAAAATCATCTTCTTGGCTACGACGTAGTATACGTGACTCAGCGAGATTTAAATCTTCCGCCGTTAGAATATTTGAAATATTAGACTGTCTACGCGAAGTTAGTGCCGTTTCATTAATAGAATGATCTAAAAAAGAACAAATACAATAATTTAATTTAATTAATTTAGAAATATCAACTTCTCGTTTTCGTAAACTACGCAATCGCAATAAATATAAAAATGAATTTATGCGCAGTTGCTGTTGAACATAGTAATCCAATTCATGAACTAAAACGTAATAGATCAGCTGAGAGTGACAACTGTGAATTGGATGAAGTCATGTGATTGACTTGATGTAAATGAGGTTAAGTTAATTATGAGCTTCGATGATTATTAGAATGAATAAAGCGCCAGTAAGCTACTACTAAATAAGCTACTTTACTGACATCATAAAAAATCATGGAGTTCGCACTCTAAAAGAACGCGACTTCTGACGTGTATTGGTGTTAATAAAACTAGTGGATCATATATCCGTATAATATAAGCAAGAGCCTGTCGTTTGGTGAGTTTAGTAGGCATTACAAAATCTTTTTGAAGACCGGTATTAACAGCGATTAAATCAGTGCCTGGGTACCATAATAAACCAAGTGTGCGTACAGGTGTACTAACAACACCTTTATCTACTTGAAGTGTATCTAATGACTGACTATGACACAAACTCTTAGGTATTAGTGATAGCGCCCTTGGTTCATTAGATATCCAGTTACGCATCTCAAATCCTGCTTTCTGATGTATATCAATAATATCGGCTACCAAACGAGCAGCTCTTTCCACAGACTCAACACTACTTATGCAATCGTCCATGTAATGATCATGAACGATTACATGCGCCGCTTCAGGAAACTGCTGTTGAAAATCTTCGGCATTCTTATTTTTAATGAACAAAGCTGTGGACGGGCTTGATGCAGCGCCAAAAATCATTAAAGAAATACGAAATAATTTCAAAGGTTCATTAGAACTATCGCGCCTTGGAAAACGCTGTGCATCTCGGTCTGCGTTACGAATTTTAACCTGAGGAAACATTTCTTTAATGTCACCATTAATCGCGACACTCTCCTCACGAAAACGCATTAATATATTAAGCAGAGATTGCAAAAGATCTGGTCCGGTTAAAAGTAAATCGTATAAACTAACTCCTTGTGATTTAGCGGCTGCATCATTAATTATTAGCTTTCCACAAAAAGGCCAACCTCGAATCAACCCTCACGCTTTTCATGTCTCATAATATCTATACAGTCGAGACGATATTGCATTTTAAATATATTTTCTATAGACGCATCACTACCTGCGTTGCAATCACACACATTATTTACGAAATGAACAACATTCGTTTTACTTGACATAAAACCGAAAAGAACCCAACCCAAAGCTGTTAAAATAGCAACTGGTTGAGACCTAGTTCCCTGTCTAGTCGCAATAGGTACAGATAGATGCCAATTATCAATACCAATTATAATGGTAGGTTTTGCATCATAACATAACTCGTCAGCTATATCTGATAAGTACGAAAAAGTATTAATCTCATTTTTATTAACATAACAATCTGCTAAACCTAAATTACTAATAGATCTAGCTTGTTTGACATCAAAAGTTTTTATTGATTTCCGCCCTTTAATCTGAAAATCAACGTATTGAACTTCCGATTCCTTTGATAAACCACCCACACACTGTATGTCTATTTGTCCCATCTGACCCGTTACTCCTATCTGAGAAGATATTTCAGCATCAATAAAGGTAGCCGTAGATCCGTCATCAAGTAATGCGAAAGTATCAACAGAACCAGATGGACCCGATACTGTGACGGCGACGACCTTTAGTAATGGTTTACGAGAAACAGTGGTACTACCTGAAGACGTCTGAGTCACCAATTCTGAACGCGGCTGGTCCGCATTATTGTCTACAGCATGCGAACTTGACTCTCCGGACTCCTGTGTGCTAGCTATGGAATGTGTAAAATTAGAATTATGAAGTATTTTATGATGTTTACGAGAGCAACCGACTATAGTACAAACACCTTTGATACGACAGGTATTATAATTATGTAAACCTCTTTTTAAACATTTGTGGCATAATTTATTTTTCTTAACAAAATGCCATTTGTCATCAATTGTCAGTGCCAAAAATTTATTACAATTGATTAATGAATGAAATGCTCGACAATATAAACAAGACTGTTTTGATGAAATTTTTGATGAGTTTTCAGCCGTTGTAAGAAGAGATGTTTCGACACAGAAATCGGTCTCGGAAGCTTGCGTGTCGTGTTCCAAACTATCACATACCTTTGCGGCATTTACTCGTTCTAATTTCTTATACCTGTCGAAATTAAAAGTCATGTTAAAATTGAAAATATCAACAATACCGAATTTAGCTTGTACCTCTACCTCTCGATTTAAAAATTCTGCAAGCATTTCTAGTTTGCTTTGACCACTATATTCGTGGATAACAGCAAAGTCATACCACCTACTTTTTAACACAATAGGCAATTTTGATAGCACTGCATTGAACAATTCTGGTGATTTTAAATAGTCATTACCATCTAATAGGCGTAATGTCTCAGTGCAATTACGAACTTTACTGGCAAATACTGTTAAGTCCCTATCGTTAGTCAATCTCGACAAAGACCTTACCGAATGAAGTTCTTGTAAAATAATTAACTCTGGTCGTCCAAATCGAACCTCAAGTGCACTGTTGTGAACTCAAATTGTGTGTCCTGGAAGACACGTTTAAATGAAAGCGACTCCGTAGGGGACTTTCCGTCAAAATACGGAAGCTTCGTATTAATCCCTTTCGGAGGAGCAACAATTTTATCTGTTAATTTACCTACTGCGGACACCAACGCAGATATTGGTGCGATTAAATTAACAGCAGGGGGGTGTGTATTTACCTGTGGATTATAAGAAAATTTTAAAGGTGTAGATTAGTCATGACCATCTAACCATTTATCCACATCTTCATTGCAGCTACGACCAATACTAGCATGATCACTAGATCGGCTGCCTCGACAGCTGGCTGCTTCAATTTCTGCAATTTGTGCATTATATTTCTTTCTCGCCACCTCCAACTCAACGCGGCGACGTGCTTCGGCTGCCTCCAACTCGATCTCAGCGAGCCGTTGTGCGTGTAGCGCTTCCGCTGCAAGCTTCTTAGCACGAACCGTAGCTGATGAGCGGCTGCAGGTCGATGTGCTGTGAGCACTAACTGCGATCGGTGGTACGGTGGACACCGACGCCGAGGCGGCGGCATCAGGGTGCGTTTCCTCTGCCGACGGTGGTAGGGGCAACGCTTTTGCCGTACGAGTATTTGCCGAACACAGTTTACACGACCCGACCGTGTTTCCATTTTTTTTGAAAATTTCGAATGTTGATTCACTGAATATAATAAAATAAGGGAGAAGGACCAAAAATGTGGGCGAAAGGACTGTATGCTGGTATGGAAACACGGTGTTTTAGAAAGATAATATAATTATATAAAAAATATACATATCAAACCAACGGAGTCAAAAAGCGAAGGCAAAACAAAACCGAAATTGACACAGACTTCAAATTATAAAAAGAACATCTTTTTAATAAAATTTAAAAAGAAACTAAAAAGGTGCGTCGTGCACAAGTAGTGTTTTTCTTGGTCTGAGTATTTTTTATTCAATTCAGAATAAAAAAAAACTAAGCTATTGGATTTTTTTACGGTTGACAATTAAATGGTATCCCCACCTGTGCTAGAATGGAAAAAGGTGAGAATGGAAGCAGGTCAGTTAGCTCATCGTGGCGAATTCAAGAATTAACCACAATAGTTTCAAGGGGAAGCCCTGTAAAGGTTGATCTAACAGACATATTGTTAGCAATGGAGTCACTAGTCCCCGTTAATAACAATCCCTTCTCCCCAATAATATTAAAATGATATATTTATCTATCAGATTAGTCTCGTAGATATTTTAATAAAAAATGATACAGTAGTACAGTTTTGAAGTCAAAATAACGGTTTTTTATTGGGACCACAATCTTTAATTATTATTCAAATAGTCATAATTGAGTCATAGACAGGGCATGAAATCGAGAGCGAGGCGGATAGTGGCCATGTTATACACAGTAGTACCAATCTAAAGAACTCTTTGCCATACTGCTGTTCTTACACTTTGTTAGTACTTATTAGGTACTTGGTCGACACAAAAGTTTGTTATCAAAACATCAACCGTTGATATGTATACTTCGTGTTAATTATAAATATTTAGAACGTTCGAAATTCAAAATAATTTATACCTATTACATCATTACAATTTTTGAAAATAGAACACGATTGTACACAATTATTATTATTATAATATGTTAGCAATTTACGTGAACGCGTATTACGCAAAACACTTACCTTGAGAGCAACTATTTACATCCTACTGAATAGTAAATTATGAAAATATTTATTATTATTATAAATATGTAAATAGCTGATAAAATTTAGACTAACAATAAAGATTTCTGTTGAATATGTCTATGAAATATTCCATCGTCTATCGGTGCATTCGATTCCATTTAAAAAAAGAATACCTAATGAAATCACCAGTTACTTTTTATAATTTTTCTATCGTCGCTGTTTTTTCTTTTTTTTTTTTTTATCGGAAAAGTGTAAAATATTCTTGCTCTATGGTCTGAATCAATATAAGAGAGCTTGGTTTAACGATGCAAGCAAAATAGATAAGTGCTGCAATTCAACGTTGTTGCAACATTACCAAGGCTACGGTGCAATGCATGCAATGTTTGACATAACGCTACGATTTCATGAACATACCTCCGTTAGTCATATATTCATAAACATCATAGATGATTTTTTTTTCTATATTTTCAACCGACTTCAAAAAGGATAAGCTTCTCAATTCGGTTGTATCATTATATTTGTTATAACTCCGTCAGATTTAAACTGTTTTGGAAAATTCTCATTCTCAATTTTTCATTTGAAAAGATATACTTACAAATTGATCCTATAGAAATATTATCAAAATCGGTTCAGCAATTTAGTTTTCAGATCAAAGTAACTGGTTTGGTTACAAATAAAGTAGCTTCTTTTTGTGGAATTCGGTCTTTGAATATATTATAACACGATATATGATCATATATACCATTCGTGTTTCTACCGTGAAGCAGTTGTGGCTGTTTCGGTTTAATGGGTGGATTATGGCGGTGAATTTACAGGGTATAGAGGAATAACACCTGAGTCCTTAGGAATGGTAACGCATGGGGAGTATCATGGGCGAAACAGTATACTCTGTTATGTCCATGATACTGCTCATGTCTATAGGCGACGGTTACCACTTTCCATCAGGTGGGCCGTCAGCTTGTTTGCCATTCTAATTTTGCATTAACAAAAAACGGCTTTGTGTATACGAGAATAGTATTGTCCATGAATTCGAACAACCGAATAGAAGGTAATATTTGTGCTATAATTTGAAGGGAAGGAATATAATTTATAGCGGAATTTACATAAATTTTGAGACACAACAATTAAGAGAATTAACATAAAACAGTTTTACGAATTGTGTTTTATGAAGAGTTTATTTCGAGATTACTATAAATAAATATCTTTTGTAACACCAAATTAAGTAGTCATAATTGATTGGATACTAGCGGCATTTATTTGTCTCTATCTATATCTGTTACATCAATGTCTATGGGCCGAATGGATTTGAATGATATTTGAAATATAGATGGAACGTAATCCTGCATTAACACATAGGATACTTTTTATCTTAATCCACACTCAATGTTACAAGATAATGCTGATCACCTCAGATGACGAGAGAACCTTGGTGCTGTAAGGGTTTGATATAATGCCTCACCTACCGATGGTCGCAGGTTCAATCCCTATACAATATAGATATATATATTTGGGAGGGGAAGGGACTATTAGCATTGAGAACTAGCGATCCCATTGCTAGCAATATACCCAACCAGGTCGACCTCCTCGCGGTTCTCCCTGGAAACTATCATGGTTAATTCCTGATGAACTCATCATGATGGGCTAACTGGCCTGTTTTCATTCTCATCTATCACCCGTCACTGGTGCCCCGCCAGCGTATCCCGTTAGCGCAGGCGGGGTTACTATTCCATTTTCACCCATCAACAAATTACCTACTATAGTCAATACAAATAACATTTCGTCTATTTTAACTCGTGGGTATATTTACGTAAGTAAAAATGTATTCAATACATTCCAAAGGGCATACAATGTAAGTATATTATGTTACATGCATTTAAGTTATTTTTCTGCAAAGAAAGTATAAAATTATAAAGTACCTACCTACATTATTTTCATGAATATTGTTTGTCAAATTTGTAATTGATTACGTGAAGGTAACCGTTGCTATTGTTAACAACTTATATTTTACAAGTAGTGTCACTATACATATGCTTCGGTAAAAGCAAGTCACGTTTTTTATCCATGTGTGCGTGAACAGGGTTGCCAGTATGTATAGTTAAAAATTAGTATTTGGAAGAATTTTATGTCTTAAGATTAACTTGAAAAACAAAATTGGTACATAATTTTTATAAATATATTTGAAAGAAGAAGATAAACCGTGCAAAATGATTCCTATTAATATTTATCTTTGCTGAATATTTTGATTTATGTCTGAATATAGACAGGTACTGCCGTGTAATCCCGGCTTAAAATGGGCCTCTCCTTTCAATCTCTTGGGTGTCGTAAGAGGCGACTAAAGGAAGGCAGCAGCGTCCCTCTTATAACATCTTCAAAACCTGACTGCGGTTGCCAATCTGCCTGCCAAGCATGGCAATTATTGGCAAAACCCTTTAAGATACCCTTATGTCGAGCAGTGGACAGTTAAGGGCTGATATGATGATTATAATGATGGACATAAAAACTATTTTCTTTTATATACATTTTTAAATTATTTATAATTTAGAAATGTATATTAATTTGTAAGCAACACGTACATATGTATATTTATATTATTACAGAAAAAGTTATTCCAAATTTAATTTTAAAAGTCTACCTGATCTTGGAGATTCAATTACTTGCAACACTAAAAATAATGCGTTTTGTTTTGATTTAGAAAAAAATTATTGCTAAATGTTAACTGACTAAATTTTGATACGTTTTTACAATCAATATTGTAAATATATATATACAACATAGAATGGCAAATAAGCTGACGGTCCACCTGATGGAAAGTGGTAACCGTCGCCTATAGACATGAGCAGTACTATGGACATAACAGAGTATACTGTTTCGCCCATGATACTCCCCATGCGTTGCCATTCCTGAGGACTCAGGTGTTATTCCTCTGTACCCAGTAAATTCACGCCATATCCCACCCTTCATACCGAAACACAGCCATGAAAACACAACTGCTTCACGGTTGAAACACGAATGAGACAGAGGTACCCAAGCAATCGACTTTTGTACAAAGTCTCCCTCTGGTAAATAATCTAAGGTTTACTTTCCACTTTAAAAAAATACATTGAATAAAAGTACCGAGTGAGTGTAAAGAACTGAGTAAGTGTAAAACGGACTAAACTATGTCAACGAGACAGGAAGTGTTGCCATTTTATTTCTATATTTGTACCCATAAAATTACCAGTTATTTTTGCAAATCAATTTATCTTTATCTCTATCAATTAGCTGTGACACGAATCGATTAAAATGAAATATATCTCACATATTAATTAAGATATTATTTATCTAAACATCAAATTTAATTGAAGTCCATCCAGCCATTTAAGTTCATTGAGTAATAAACATTCAAACATGTGTATTATAAGCTGGTATATTTATAAAACTAATATATATATATATAAGTTTTCTTTAGAGGGCGTACTGCGATTTGCGTCACAGCGTTAGTAATTTCTCGTTACATATATATATAAACATCTTAAATAATATAGATAGAGCATCGAGTCTCAAAAACAGGTCAACTTTTTGTCAGCTAATTATCAAATTAACTGATTCGTTTTTTATCAGTGTTCTATATACTTACACATACAATTTATCTTGACGTATCTATATTTAATTATTTAATAAATAAAATATGTGTTTACGCATTAAAAAGATGCAAAAATTATAAGACAAAATAAATATAGAACGTATAAGGTTTATATATATATATATATATATTTAATAAATATTGTAATAAAAATAGTGTAATAAATATAAAAGAATTTCAAAAGAAAAATAAAGCAGATTTATAACACTTTAAATTTTCTTAGTAATCACAGATAATCGAATATTACTGTCAAAAAACACAAAATTTAACCTAAGAGCATATTTTCTATCCAACATTGCTATATTTTTTTTACAGCAGAATACTAATGTCAATACTTAATACTTGTAAAACGAAATGTAAAGTGCCACACGTAAGGCTAAAACGTTTAAGAGGTACTAAAAACCTTAAGATTTTTGTATGTATTTATATGATAATGAAATAAAAAAAAATATAAATAATCGAAATAAATTATTGGCAACTAAAAAACATAAATATATAACGATTTTTGTATTGTTTAGTTCATTTAATACCTAATAATAAAATACAGTAAAATGATTTCATTTCATAACTTTACAGCTTGCTGAATACTATCTTCGGAGTTTGGAGAGAAGTGGATATTTGAAAATAACGAAGGCGAAGCAAACGTTACTCTTTATGATCGGTAGCTCCCTCCTTTTCTACCTTATGCGATTGGAAGGAGACAAGGAACAACGGACTCCACTATTTTGGTAAGGGCTTATATTATACTAGCGGCCCGTCCCGGCGTCGTACGGGTGGACATTTTTACATTCAAAAAGGTGGCCATTAAGGCTGCACACGCGACGGAAGCTTAAAAATGGAGTAACTTCTTCCGTTTTCCCAACATTTCCCTTCACTGTTCTGCTCCTATTGATCGTAGCGTGATGAATAGTATACTATAACCTGCCCAGGAGTACGAAGAATAATTGTACCAAGTTTCGTTAAAATCCGTCGAGTAGTTTTTGTTTCTATAACGAACATACAGACAGACATACAAAAATTTTACTGATTGCATTTTTGGCATCAGTATCGATGGCTTATCACCCGCTGATAGTTATTTTGGAGATATATTTCATGTACAGAATTGACATCTCTACAGATTTATTATAAGTATAGATTAACTATTGTCCCGGTACTTTGCAAGCATGAATTTCCGAAGTTTTTTTTTTTTTTTATACAACTTAGAATAGCAAACAAGCTGACGGCCTACATGATGGAAAGTGGTAACCGTAGCCTATAGACATGACCAGTACCATGGACGTAATAGAGTATACTGTTTCGCCCATGATACCCCCCATGCGTTGCCATTCCTGAGGACTCAGGTGTTATTCATTTGTACTTAGTAAATTCACGCCATATCCCACCCTTCAAACCGAAACACAGCCATGCAAACACAACTGCTTCACGGTTGAAACACGAATGGGACAGAGGCACCCAAGCAATCGACTTTTGTACAAAGTCTCCCTTTGGTAAGTAGGTAATCTAATGAAATATATCACTCCTAGATGGCATAATAAGACACATAATACCAAATTTTAAGTTAGACCCTCAGTAGTATAACTGTAAAAACCGTTAAATGGATAGATATATATATATATATATATATATATATATATATATATATATATATATATATTATATATATATATATTCTTTATTGCACTTCAACTAAACTAACTTAAAATAATCTATTTATACATGTTGTGAGCAAGGGTGGACTTGTCTCTGACAGAGATCTCTTCCAGTCAACCCAGTACAGTAAGAAAGCATTTCGTTAGCGGGCAGCTGAAGTGCTACAAATATTAATACATAAACAAATACACAGTTAAATAAAATATTAAAATATATAATAAATCAAAATTACAAACAATATGAAAAAATTTTGAAAAAATCAGTTAAATTATCAAAAAAGTTTCAAAATATTCAAAGAATAAAGAAATCTGAAAATAAAATTAAAACAATGTGGTCTATAGTTAAGGAAAATACAAATAAAAGTATTCGAAATATTAAAAAAAATATAAAATTAAAAATTGAAAATAATATCACAGACAATCCCACAAAAATAGCAAACTCATTTAATCAGTTTTTTGCTTCTATTGGAAATGATAATGTAAACCAAAGTCAGCCATTACAATTAAATAAATGTATGAGTAGCACCATCGAAAACTCTATGTATCTCAAACCGGTGGACTTAAAAGAAATTCAAACTATTATAAAAAAACTAAAAAATCAGCGTAGCTATGGCTACGATGAGTTTCCACCTGTCTTAATTAAAAAATGTGCTGAAGAATTGACGCCTATTTTAACCTTACTTATTAACCAGTCATTTACAGAAGGTATAGTCCCAGACCCTCTGAAAATCTCCCTAATCAAACCAATTTATAAAAAAGGTGAAAAATTAGATATAAATAATTATCGTCCCATTTCTTTGTTACCAACGTTTTCAAAAATATTTGAAACTGCAATGTGTGACCGTCTATATATAAAAATATATCTTCAGCGAGCATCAGTATGGTTTTAGGAAAAATCGGTCAACTTCATTAGCAGTCTTCAAGTATATTAACGAAATAATTAATATCATAAACAACAAAGAATATGCCTTAGGCATTTTGCTCGATATGAGTAAGGCTTATGACTGCGTCCAATACAAAACGTTATTGAAAAAATTATACAACATAGGAGTAAGAGGTCCCGCTTATAAATGGTTTACCTCTTATCTCACAAATCGATCCCAATATGTACAAATAGACCATGTAAATAATCAAACTGGAAAAATAAAAACAGTAAGATCTCAACATTCAAAATTAATAAATTCAATACCTCAAGGAAGCGTCCTCGGATGTATATTATTTTTAATATTCATAAATGATTTGCCTGAAGTGATGGACAGCCCCTGCACATTGTTTGCAGATGACGTTTCTGTTGTTGTCTCCTGTAAAAATAACCTAAACCTACAAAGTACACTGGATGGTAGTATGTTAAAAATAGTGAGCTGGTTACACTCACATAAATTAAAAGTAAATTTTAATAAAACTAAATTAATGGTTTTCAGTCCATTCCAAAAGAACCCGCTGCAAATTAACTACTCTTTCAATAATATTAAAATAGATTGCGTAGAGAAATATTCACTATTAGGTGTAAATGTAGATTCGAATATTAATTGGAAAGCGCATGTGCAGAGTGTGGCTACCAAGCTGTCTAGATTCACTTATGCACTACACCAACTAAAGATATCTTCTGATACCAAGACAGCCATGTGCGCCTATTATGCATATGCCCACTCTTTGCTCCAGTACGGCATATTGATGTGGGGTAATAGTACAAACGTGATTGATCTTTTTAAATTGCAAAAACGATGTCTCAGAATAATTGCTAACATAGATAACAGGGAAACTTGCAAACCATACTTTATTAAATATAAAATTTTGACTTTACCGTCAATGTACATATTAGAAGCGTGTCATTTTGTTAAATGTAATATGCACCTATTTCCACAATATATATACCGCAATGTAGATTAGCAAGACCATTCTCGAAGCTACAGTTATTCCATTCTGGCCCTTTCGCAATGTCAATAAAAATTTACAATAAAATACCAATTAACTTAAAAGGTGAGGATGATTCTAAAAAGTTTAAAGTAGCTCTAAAAAAATATTTAATCGCAAAGAGTTTTTATGCGCTACAGGAATTTTTCAAGGAAAAAAGTTAGTTGTGTTTGTGCCTGTTTGTTTTAATTTAATGATGATTTTTTGTTTTTTTTTTTTTTTTTTTATACTAATCGACGATACATATATATAATGTAAAAATTTAATTATGTAGTTTATATAAGATTTATTAATGTGATTGCTGTGCCCTTTCAGGGTTCATGTTTGCTACTTTTAGTAAATTAAGACCAATTTTGTTACAACATGTAATAGCAATAAATAAATGAATGAATGAATGAATGAATGAATAAAATATTACATAAATACATTTACGTTAGTTGCCTCGTCAGTTCTTAACCGATTTGGAAAATTATTTTTTATCTGAAAGATAATGTGTTTAAAGATTGGTTCATTTATCAACTAAGACAGTTTCCCAATGTACTCCTTTATAAATTTATCCAAATTGATTCAGTAGGTAATTTAGTTTTTTTTTTCACAATTAAAATCATTGTTTTTTATTTATATTAGTTATATTAAACATTTCCTATCTTAAACATAATCAATAAATCCCACAGCAAACAAATATAAACTTATTTAAATAAAAATTAACGTATTAGACTTTGTGACTATCTTTCTCATCGAGAAATTATAACAAAAGACAAAGGAATAAATATATCTATTAGATGTTTGAGGCTTTTAAATAAGTGTGTGAATACATTTTATCTAATATATTAATCAATACCAAGCAAATCTTATATATAAAATTCTCATGTCACGGTGTTTGTTACCAAACTCCTCCGAAACGGCTTTACCGATTTTTATGAAATTTTGTGTGCATATTGGGTAGATCTAAGAATCGGCCAACATCTATTTTTCATACCCGTCAATGATAAAGGTAATCCACCCACTCCTAAATATATTTATTTTAATTTTCTTGACAATTTTTTAAATTTTTACTTTATTATGACTAAGCATCGAAAAATACAGCTTAAAATTTTTACCTTTTTACGATAAACCCCTGTTGTTTAATCATTCAGGGTTGCAAGAAGACAATCGAATATAATATTGGAAATATTTTCATGTATAGTTCTAGAAATAATGTTTATAGTAAAACAAAGTTTACCGAGTCAGCTAGTATTTTAATAAAAATATCCCACCTTTATTAATTTTACTTTTATTTTGATATTTTTACGACACTTTTTGCATAAAAAAAATATGCAAAAATATGGGTTGGCAAGCGCAATTTGACTCTGTTGATCATTTGAAGAGGGCACTGCAAACATAACTACAAACATATAAAATACCGTTTTTTAAATATTTTCCTTACCTTGTGAACTACAACATTTGGAAATTTATTTTCGCCTACAATTTCCTTAGGTTGTAAATGAACAATACTCGAGCCTACAAATCAATAATTTCATCCTACATACATATAATTTCTTGATATACCGCTATATATACTGCTTGGAAACATTGTTTTGCGAGACTTTCCGAAGTTAATTCTATTGATTACAATATTGAAAGTGAAACCACAAACTAAATAGTTACAGAAGGGCCAGACTATTTAACACCTACTTCTACATAGCAGAGTTCCGAGACAGTCTCCATTATGCTTGAAGGTTTTTAACATAGATTATAGCTTATTATAGTCGCAGTAGGTACACAAGTAAAAAAGATTTTTTTTTTATACATTAGTAAGTTTAAAAGAGTAACTGTTGAATTTTTTACGACTTCTTCTTAGCAGATAATAACATATTAAACCCAGCAGTAAAATCATACAAAAATTACGATTAAAAAGAGATTTCAAACAAGATTATTATATTAAAAATAAAACAATATATCAAATATTGTTTTATTTTTCCTCTATTCAATAATGCACCGCCCACGTATTTCTCGGTTTGCCCAATGGTTGACTGGTAGAGAACACCGTCCGGTGTTAAGTTCGCTAAATGTACATAGAATTTTACTGTGCATTAATGTTTAAATAAATAAATAATTTCGAATAAAGATCATTTTAATTCTATTACGTCAAACTGTTTACATATATTAAACAAAACTACAAAAAGCATCGTCATTTATTACTAATTATCAAATATAATAAAATCACATAGAACGATTGTTACCTAATCGTAAGATGGGCAATCAGCACCAATGACGAATAGTTAATTTAATTTATAAATTATTCTGTAAATGCTTCGCTTGTCGCATATATCGCATCGCTCTTATCTTTCTGATGTAATAAAAAATATACCGAAAATAAAATTTTATATTTTCGACATATTTTTTATTATTAATATTTAAATATGAATTTACAAACAAGTTTACGATAATAATAAAAGATAAAAGATAGAATAAATGTGACAAAAAAAGACGGGAAACACACCTGCAATTTCTCTAATGTTGTTGGTGTTATGGGTGGTGGTAGCTTACCATCAGATGAGTCGCATGCTCGTTTGCCTTATAAAGAGACCAATCAAAGAAAAACTGAAGCTGACTCGAGATGTAATCAGTCAAAATTAAGTTGAACTTCGAAGCCCGTTTTGCTTTGAACCAACCCTCTGTCTCTATTCATTTTGTGTAAGAACATTGTTACAACGGTCTAGCGAGCATAGAGAATAAGCGAACTTGATAATTGTACGAAATAATGTTTAAAGAATCCTTTTGTTCAAGTATCGAGCCACTCTAATTACTTTACTGTTGTAAGGTTCCCCCAAGATGTTTAAGTAATTCGTTAACATGCGAGTAGAATTGAAATTGTTTAAAATTAGGTATATTCAAGTAATATAACAAAATTGTAACTAGACGGTGTCTTTACATAAAAGATTATTATATAAAAAAATATTAGACGTCTTTATAAGACCTAATTGATGAATAAGATCAATAGTTGTCGATACAATAAATGGGGGGGAAGGGATAGTTAGTATTGCGGCCTACCAATTTTATTGCTAGCGTCTATCTACCAGTGGGAGACTTTGTACAAATGTCGTTTGCTTGGGCACCTTTGTCGCAATTGTATTTCTACCGTAAAACAGGTATGTTTGCATGACTGTGTTTCAGTTTGAATTTATACGGTACAGAGGAATAACACCTGACTCCTCAGGATTAGCAACACATGGGGTTATCATGGGCGAAACAGTGTACTCTGTTATATTCATGGTCTGTGCTTATGTCTATAGGCGACGGATACCACTTTGATATTAGAATTTTAAAAGGGTATGTTACGGTTTCTTCGAGGTTAGCGTCCATAGGCTACAGTAACCGTTTGCAGTCGGGCCGCACCTACGTATACTTTTTTGCCAATTTTGCGGTATAAAAAAATATTTTCATTTTTTCCTTAAATCATAATATAAAAAATGCTATATTTTTCAGGCTGTACACACCAGAAAAGGTGAGACGGAAAGAGGATGGCTCTAAGAACGTGTGTCCACATGAAGGGCCGTGCCATAAATTTATACTTAAGGTAGGTTAAAGTAATATACCATCATCATCATGTCAACCATTGACTTTTCGCTGCTGAACATATACTTCTCCCTATTGGTAGGTTTCGTCAACAATTGCCACTCTTTGCAGACGGCTTGGCAATCACAGTTACACTTTGGTGATATTTTAAAAGAGACGCTGCTGACTACCCCCAGACCATAAAATTCACTCTTACGACATCCATGGGAAAATAATAAATAAAAAGTTACGCTAACTGTAGGCCAAACTCTGTTTTACTCCTATTTCTACTGTGGGTGGGATATGGCAGTGCGATTACAGGATCCAGAAGCATAACACCATATCCCTCAGGAATGACAGCGCATGAATAAATAAATCTGTATCTCATTATATTCCGTCATATCCATGCTACAGTTCATGCCTATAGGCGATGGTTACCACTTTCCATCAAGTGGGCCGTCAGCTCATTTGTCATTTGTTGGATTAAAAATGAACTTGCAAAAAAAACTAAATACTTATGCAAGATGATCATCATCATATCTCATCTATTATCTGTCCACTGCTGAACATATGCCTCCCCCATAGACTATTATAAGGATAGAGATAACAGATAAAGGATAAGGAACAGTTTTGAGCCACCTGCATCCATTGACAAGCTACAAGCTGTATGTATTAGAACATTTCATGAATCTAAAATAAAAAAATAACATAAAAGACCCAAAATCGCCGTGAATATAATCTTCAACTAATCTTTTATTCTTTTCCCAGGGCTATGGAACTTACTTCGGTATTGGACTTGCCATATCTTTGGCCAGACTGATCATACCCAAAATAAAAACGCCAATAGAGGCTATATCGTCCATAAGAGGGAAGCACTTCAAGATGGCTTTATTCTTCGGCAGTTATATTGGTATTTACAGAGTACGACTATATTATATGTTATGGTAGTTTTATGAGACAATACAACACTAATCAATGATGAATAAAGACTGACAAATATAAGATACAATCAGTCACAAAACAAAACCGACTTCGGTCGTGGCAAAACCAGTTGATTTAAAAGCTAAACTACTAAACCGATTCTAATAAAAATTATCCGAGACTAAAATGAAAATATTTATTTATGTATTTATTCATTAAAAATAATTACAACATTATGACAGCAAAAGCCTCCTAATAATATATTCTTTATTATTAAACGACTCCTAATAATATATTCTTTCGGATAAAAGAATTTTCCAAATTGGTTTATGGGTAAATAATGAAGATATGAGGTAACAAGCTTAAAAAATCGAATTATTATGTATGATTATCAACTGATTTTAGAAAAAAAAGGAGATTTATCTTCTTTGTTGAAATATGTTTTTGTAATAAATAGACTTGAAACAGATTCCTCAGTTTCCTATTTCATATGAAATTCATTATTTTTCTACTAAAATTAACATCAAAATGTAACTAACAGCACCATTAATTATTTGGAGAATATTGATTTTAGAGTCATATAATTAAGAACAATTGTTCTTGTTTGTGTTTCTATCAACAGCTGCACTTTCATGGCACGGTTGGAAGGATATGGCAGTGAAATTACAGGATTATCATGTCAACCATTCTAGTCTGTCTAGTCTACTGCTGAACAAAATTTCCTCCATAGACCACCATAAGGAATGGTCCCTAGCGACCTACTGTATCTACTGATTGCCTGCAATGCATTTAGGGTCGTCACTTCATCTAGTAAGGAATCGTGCCATAGTGCATTTGCCTATACGGAGTCGCCACACAAAGAACCTTTTTTCCCTATCAGTTGTCGATTCTTCAAACTATGTAACTACCCATTATCATTTCATCTTACTTTTCCTTCGGGCTAGATTTCGGGAAATTGCGGGATACAGAAACATAATAATGCATGAGGGCTACCATGAATTCTAGTATAATTTATTTCGTCCATGGTGCTGTTTATATCTATAACTGATGGTTATTACTTCTCATAAAATAGCCCCTCAGCTTGTCTGCCATTCCTTTTTGCATAAAAGGAACCAAAATTGTCGCCACATTTCAATTTTAATATTCTTGGTCCGCTAGATAAGTTGCTGTTTAAATAAAGCTCTAAAACATATATGTATATTTAATATATTATATATTGTACATTTCAAATATAGGTATAATATATTTTTTTTATTTATTAAAATACTTATTATTATTGTTTAGATTTCTGTTTTGCACTACTGCTACCCACTTACTACTTCCTATGTTACTATGTTATGTTGACTGGAACAAATCTCTTTTAGAGACAAGTTCGTCTTTATTTACATTGTTTCTAATTGTTATTATTATTGTATGTTTTAGTGCAAAAAATAATAATATTAGATAACCCCTATATCAATATAAATAATTTTACTCGTAAACACTTATTTTATAATAGTGTTCTAAGATCCTTACATAGAAAATGCCCTAAAAGGTTTTTAATTAAGTCTGTACTCCCATTTTGTGTTAATTAAAATAAGTAGGTGTTTTAGAGAATAAAATATTAATATTTTGACACAAAACCATAAGATACACCCTTGTGATATTGTAAAAGTAAATAAATCAACAGCAGTAAAATTTATAAAGATTGCGGGTCAATTTATACTGGTAGCTATAACTATTCATATTATCCCCACCGTAAGATGACCTCTAGACGATTTAAAAAAAACTCGTACATTTTATGTGACCATAAAGTTTAATAAGGCCTTTATCGATTTTAGGCTGTGGTTTGCTACTTATGCCGTAAGCAAGGCTTCGACTCGGCGCTTTACGCGTTACCAGCTGGATATCTGGCGGGTTTGTCGAGTATGTTCAACTCGTCACTTGGCTTGTCCATTGCTGTGTTCTCAGGCGCTTTGAAGGTATAGTATGATTTTAATAGCATTAATAACTTCCGAGGCATGAATTAAATGTAATGACTTTGTACAAAAGTCCTTTGCTTGGACACCTCTGTCACATTCGTGTTTCTACCGAGAAGCAGTTAGTTTGCATGACTGTGTTTCGGTTTGAAAGTTGAGATATGGCAATGAATTTACAGGGTACAGAGGAATAACACCTGAGTCCTCAGGAATGGTAACACATGGGGGGTATCATAGGCAAAACAGTATACTCTGTTATGTCCGTGGTACTGCTCATGTTTATAGGCGACGGTTACCATTTTCTAACAGGTGAGCTGTCAGCTTGTTTGCCATTCTAAGTTGCACAAAAAAATATATAACTCAGCATGTAAATGAAATTTTTAAAATGTTGAATCACAAATCTATCAATTTGTTTGAAATACACTGAGTATTTCATACAAGAATTTATTATTATTATTCATCAAAACGATTACTAGTATGTAACTCAGACAAGTTACATACGAGTAATCGTTTTGATGGCCAGTCGTTCTCGCAGCGTATGGCCTAACTTTAATTGATACAAATGAAACCAATCCATCACAATTATGATAGTGCTTATAGGCTATCATTTTAACAACAGTATAAAATATACATTATTCATTTTATGCTCTTGTTAGATTTAATTATTGGTATTAAAAACAGTTTATTTCATCAATCAATTCGTTCTTACATACAATGGATAAAAGTAAACCCCATTATTAATTGCCATTTTAGTTCATACAAACAAATTTGCCAGTTTATTTTTTAGCCCGTTTATTACAATAACTCCATTAGGTCTTAATTCATGCGGCAACGTGTAACTTTTATAGTATACTAGCTTTTAACCGCGACTTCGTCTGTGTAACCATGATAAATTCACTAACCTAAATAAAAAGTATCCTATGTCCTTATTCACCCTATATAATATATAATATACGTATATAAGAAGTTTCATAGTGACTGATTAAGGCGCTATAAAGTAACAAACAAATAGTAGTTTTGCCCACTACCGCACCCTATCGACTCAATTTTCTCTTTTAGGGATAACTCTTCTGTCTCAAGTTATATCAAACAATACATAGTACCTGGATGACCGAACTTTGCTCGGTATATTTTTTGACTTAGTGTTGCTTATCAACGCCATCTATTGTCAAGTAGCTTTAGTCATGCTGTGTCGGTAAAACAGATAGTTGCGAGTCGATAAAGAGTTATTGATTTGACCTTTATCTTTGTACTAAAATATCACCAATAGCAATAATTTTTTTTCGTGTTTTTTTTAGAAAATATATGTACTTTGAAATGATTTTTTCTTACAAAAACAAGGGACTTAAAAAAAAAGGAGGACAAATAATCATCTGGACTCGAACCGGGTTCTTTTGGTTTCGGGACCGCCAGATTTCCTATCTGAGCTATTATTTCTAATGATATTGTAGCAGTTTTTCATTGCCTAAAAACAATACATATTAACAAATTTTCATTAATATCTATTAAGTTACTTCGAAGATTAGCGTGAAATATCGTGATACGGAATTTTTATATATTATCTCTAGGAATATAAATCCCAATTTTGTTGTATTATGTTCATTTATTATATTTGTCAACGTTATTTTTGTAAATTTGTTCATTCTACAATAATAAAGAATTCTGCTTCTTTCCAGCTCTTCTCGACGATTCTGTACGAAAAGAAGATATTGCCTGACTTCATTCCTTTACCGGAACTTCTGTACTGTTACTGTCAGGGCACCTTGTTCCACGCACGCTTTATGGACCCGGACATTTGTCCAAATTACGTTTTCAACCTAATGAAAACCGTCAGTAATCATCGGTAAGTTTACTACAATTATAATCATTGACTTATTATTTTTTTTTATGGGTGATAATGTAATAGTCCGCCTGCGTCAACGGTATACGCTGGTGGGGCACCAGTGAGGGATGATAGGTAAGAATGATAAGACCTGGAAGACATCTGGAAATCGGCACGTTAGTCTCTAAAGGAGACCACCTGGAGATCGACCATTGCTAGCAATGAGACTGGCAGTCCAATTTCCTAACAATCCCTTGCCCCCATTGATTTATTATTGTCGGCCACAACTGCAAATAAGTATAGCTTGCTATATAATTTCATTGATTCATTCCTATTTAAGAGCTGCACTTTTGACGGTGGAGCTCGTGTCACTCACTGCAATTTTCAGCGCGTCTCTTCACCTCTTGATATGATACGACGCCAACTTTTTCCTTGATCTGCCAAATATACCTGGATCATTCCTTTCTCCTTCTTCCTTATATCTTATGTTTCATTCTAATGTTCATAAGTTCGTCATGTTATAGTTTTAATAATCTCTTTTCTTTAACCCTAATTTTCTCCGTCCTTCTCCAGCAACATATTTCAATATAATATACAAGCATACATAATATATATATATATATATATATATATATATATATATATATATTGTTCCTATACATAGTAGCGATAGATAAATATATAAAAAAGAATATGTAAGTAGAACAAAAGATCACATTGCTAGAACAGGTTGGTTCGAAAGAAAGCTTCGGTGTAGCGCAACTGCTTTACGGTAGTAACACCGGTGGGACATGTACCTACAATATGTACACAATATTGTAAGCAAACATTACAAGTGTGCCATACATATGTTTCATGTTACTATTCCTTATAAGACTATTTCGAGTATTTATATTGAAACTCCCAAAACGGAAAGGGGCGCATCGATATAATGTATGAAATATTATATAAATATATGGAAGTAATATAGAAATTCTTAAGATATGGCTGGAGACTAGTTACCTATAAGCTCTAAGGTTCACAGAAAAACGCCAAGTTTTTGATAAATTAATTTTTATACAATTCGTAATTTATAAGGTGAATTTAAAGTAAAAAATAAAAATTGTAGAACCATGTAAACCATTATCTGTTATAAGGAACGATCCAGAGCCATATGCATCCACTGACTCTCTGCAATATATATATGGTCGTCACTCCATCTAGTGGGGGTTTTCCTACATTTGCGTACGGGGTCGTCACTCAAGAAACGTTCACCCCATCGGGTGTCGGTTCTTCGAGCTATGTGACCAGCCTATTGCCACTTCAGCTTGCTTACCCTACGGACTATGTAGGTTACACATAATATACTAACATATTATTTTATTTTCCAGTTGCGAGTGGGTATACGAAAATATATTGGATATAATAAAAAATATTCAATAATTTAATACTGCGATTCAATGAAGAATAGAAGAATTTAACGGGTTTGGATGGGGCTGTGACAAAAGAGGTGTTTGATTTTGAGTTTATTTAAATGTATAATTTAAATTGTGTTAAATAAATAATAAAATAAAATAAATCAAAATAATTTTATAATAGAAAAGAATAAAATTTACATAATATATTGTTTTTTTTTTAAGATAAACCAAATAAATTCTTGTTTGTTTATGAGAAATAACAAATTAATATTTCATGGAAAACTGGGTATTTTTTAATTTATTATTTGACTGATTGTAAATATTAGTTGTAATAAATTATAATTTTTATTTGTGTGTTTTATTTAATAAATAAATACTTATATTTTTATGATGAATTTTCATACTCTGCTATTTTGTTTTTGCTACTTCCAGTAAATAGAATAGCATAGACGTTGAATAGTAGAAATATATATAGTTCATGAAATGCTCCATCACACATAAGTGATCAATTTTAAAATCTGACCACGACATATATGCAATAAAAGTTTTTACAATACAATATATGAAGAATATCACCAAGCTAGGTTATAAGTTAGAAACATTATTAAAGTTTTAAACAATTGAAATACACAATATTAATTAGAATTGTAGGGGCTTAGTCACCAACTTTGCTTGCAGAAAGATTTTTACGAATCTCGCAGTTGATGGACTGTAGTTGAAAGCAAGTAATCAGCAGACGATAATAACATTTAAATAGAGTTAATTTAGGGCGAGAAGGGGTTGTTAGTAATGGGGATTACCAATCCCATTGCTAGCAATAAACTCTATCAGGTCGACCTCTTCGCGGTCCCCCCTGGAAACCATCTTGATTGGTTTATTGTTGAATTCGTCACGATGGGCTAACTGACCTGCTTCATCCTCATCTGTCATCCCTCACTGGTGCCCCGCCAGTGTATACCGATAGCTCAGGCGAGGCTACCATTCCATTATCATCCATTAAAAAAACTAGAGTTTAATATACATACAATTTTATACATTTGACAGGATCGGAAATACAGAAAAATTAATTAAGTAAAGCCAAAACGAAAACGTCACATTTTTTGTAATCGATGCAAACTAAAAAGAGTCTTATTAATAAACAGACAAAATTTGTTGTCGCGGTTTAAAATAGATAGCGGAATAAATCGCTACAGAAGTATTTTTTATACATAAACTTCTTTTATAATCATTACTTCGTATTATTAAGCCTTCTGATAGTATTTGTTCTTGAGCTCTTGGTTGTGGCATATTCGGCGTTGAATATCACCGCCTTCCTGGAACTGATCGATGATTTGGTGGTAATTTTTATCATTCCACGACCGAAACGACATACTGACTCGCACTGTAAATTGATGTAAGAACGAATACATAAGTCCCATATGGATAGATGTTTCGATTTGAAGGGATAAAGCAAAGAAATTTAAAGGTACAGAGGCTTTTAAAATATTAGTCTTTAGGAATGGCAATGCATTTCATTTTGTGATATCCATGATATTATATATAAGTAGGCAACGTTTCTTTCCATTAGCTGAGCCGTAGCTTGTTTGAACAATATAAAAATGAAACCAGTTTTCTCACTTATAAATTGCTAACACCACCAAATTCCGAGAATCTCTAGCAACATCAAAATTACATTAAATAATGTAGTACATATTTTTTTAGTAAATAAAAGACATAATAATACACCTTTTAAATCAGAACACAATATTTAAAAAGGTTGCTTGAATCATACTTTGAATAATTTCTATTTGGTTCTTTAACCAATGTATCAAAAAGCTAAACCTGAATATGTTTAATATAAAAATATACTTAATATATTATTAGTAAAGATTACTAAGTAGCACAGTATTATAAGTATATGTCTACCTATAAGGGATATTTGTCCGTTAATCTTCCTCTAAGTAAATAAATAAAATAAACGACTAAATAATATAATGAGATCAGACTTACTTGTTCAGAACTGTAAAAGTTATTTTTGTTACCACCGCATCCAGAATATATTCGCTCCTTGCAGACCTTCCACGTAGAATCGTAGTACCATCTGTTAATAGCGCCGAAACAGAAGCCGTAGTCGAAAGACAAATAGCACCATTTAGGCCGCTTCCCTAGAAAAAAATGTTTACTTATTTAGTCAGAAAAGGACTTAGCACATTTTTCTGTGAAAAAAACAAAAACAAAGTCTTCAATCATTGCGGTGAACGTAAACGTGACAAGCCCACATTCCACCAAACATATTAGAATCCAACATTTTTTTTTTATACTACTTAGAATGGCAAACAAGTTGACGGCTCACTTGGTGGAAAGTGGTAACCGTCGTCTATAGACACGAACAGTATCATGGACATAATAGAGTATACTGTTCCACCAATGATATTCCCTGACGACTAAAGTGTTTTGTCTCTGTACCCTGTAAATTCACTGCCATATCGCTGTAAAACGCTCATTAAAATTTTGGTTTACTCGCAGCATTCTCTGTTACTAGATTATTAATTAACTGAAAAATAAATTAATACAAAGTTTTTAGTTTCCAAGAGATTTGAATTCACGCTTTCAAACTTAAGACCTTTGGAGTCTATCAGTCGGACAACATACCACTAAGTTCAGACACTGTGCTACATATGTATTGTCTTATCAAAGTTAACGATGAGACACTTGGTACATTTTACCTTTATCTGCTTGTTTTAAAATTAAAAAAATAGTACTATATAGCTGGTATAATCGTCTGGTACTCACTTAGTGAATCAGGTTTAGTCAAGCAGGTATTGAGACAATCAGCTTTGCCATCGAACCTATTCCCGTTCCCTTGGCAGCCACCCCAACTGAATTGTTGGGTCAAAGTAATACATATTTATATTTCCCCGACATGGTCCCTCGTCTGGTTTGAGTAAGCACATCTTCAATGACACTACAATAAAGAACACCAAGTACACATGCAAATTTTCTGACGCAGTGTATGCAATACTACGTTAAGGAATCTGTACGTTTAGTTAGGAGAAATTAGTTGAAAGATCAAGTGCGGCCGAAATTACTGGTCGAAATACAAAATTTAACTGGTTCCTGCTATAAAGTACCTAAGATTGTATGTTTATATTTCAATTTGAATGCTGGAATATGGTAGTGAAATTGGAAGGCATGACAACATAGATCTTGGAAGTAGTTAAGCATGACGACTGCCGTATATTTTTTGATGATTTTTAATGAGTTTGCAAAAAACTTTTTAATATACTATATAAGATAATAAAAATAAATATCAATTTAAATAAAATATTTAAACGTAACATTACATGAAGTTACATAAAAAAATAATTATATAAGGACAACAGGTTTCCTAGAAAACTAACTTTACAGAAATATTATTCTCCCAGTTTAAAATCTCTGCTTTTCTATTTATTTTATTATGTTTTCGTTATATCATAGATGAACATGTTCCAATGAATTTACTCACCTTTTGTTACGAAAACTGTCGACCTTACCTTGTGGTGAAAAGGTATTGAAGCTGATCTGTCCGAACACTCCCAGGTGCGGAATTATAGCGCAAAATAAACATTTACCAACAAATTCTAAATACATTCCTAAAACACCGACTCCATTTATAAAATACTAAGAAATAATAAAACGAACGTTGTAAAATACGAGTAACACCTACATTTTATCGAAACAAAATCAATTTTTATTGTAAATTTTATAGAGTTTTGTATTACTATAACATTCATCTCAACTACAATGTAGAATAATAATTGTATATATTTCTCGTTTACAAAAATACTATTTTGTATACCAGAATGTTATTTGTTAAAAAAATTTACTAAATTTGCATATATCGGGCCAAGTTGCTAATTATGGGTTCTAAAATACAGACCAATTAGACTTCGCCGATGTTTTAAGAGGGACGCTGCTGCCCATTTCCCGATCATTCAATTCACTTAGTCTCTTCTTACGATACTCACGAGAAAGAAAAGAATAACTCATTCTAAGCTAAAATCACATAACTACAGTAACTACAGAATGGTGAAATATAGCAGTAATTTTTTATTTTTGATACAACTTACAATGGCAAACAAGCTGACGGCCCACCTGATGGAAAGTGGTAACCGTCGCCTATAGACATGAGCTGTACCATGGATATAACAGAGTATACTGTTTCGCCCATGATACCCCCATGCGTTGCCATTCCTGAGGACTCAGGTGTCCTCTGTACCCTGTAAATTCACGCCATATCCCACCCTTCAAACAGAAACACAGCCATGCAAACACAACTGCTTCACGATAGAAAAACTAATGGGACAGAGGTACCCAAGTAATCGACTTTTGTACAAAGTCTCCCTCTGGTAAATATCATAATAAACATTTCCCAAAAAATTCCAGGATATAGAGGTATTACATGTTAGTTCTCGGGAGTAATAATACATACGGGGTACCGTGGATCTCACATGGTATCCCGTGCTAAGATGCTGTTCGTGGTTATAGGTGACGTTTACTAACCAATTTCAATGAGGTAATAGATCGGGAAGAGAAAATTATTAAGATTTATTCCATCCTTCCCTCCTATCAAAGGAAGAACTTATTCACTAGCTAGCGCCATTACTGTCATGATCTATTGCAGAAGGGAACCGCGTTTCTAATAGTAAAGCATATGAACATCAATTTCAACCTTAACACGCAAGTATAGCCTCGTTATCAGCAAAAAATTAAATGTATCGGTAGATATATTTTCGCTACTTCATCCATGAGAAAACAATATCGTACAGCATCTTGTTCAGTCACATGCACGCAAATAGTAATCAAAATCAACGAATATCAATACTAATACTATATAAAAAAAGAAAAGATTTGATTATTTGTTTGTAATGAATAAACTCAAAAATTACTTAACCGAAAATTGTTTCACCTTTAGAAAGCTATATATCTGCGAGTTACATAGATCTGTCTACCTGTGCGAATTCAAGCCAGATGCTAGTCCATTAATAGGGGGGAAAGGGATTGTTAGTAATGGAGACTGAAAATCCCATTGCTAGCAATATACCCAACCAGGTCGACCTCCTCGCGGTTCCCCCTGGAAACTATCATGGTTAATTCCTGATGAATTCATCATGATGGGCTAACTGGCCTGTTTTTATTCTCATCTATCACCCTTCACTGGTGCTCCGCCAGCGTATCCCGTTAGCGCAGGCGGGGTTACCATACCATTTTCATTCTTCAAAAAAAAAAAAGTCCATTAATAAATTCGTTTGCTGAATTTGAGAGAGGTCAACTTTGTAGTCACCATTTAATAAATAATATTAAAATAATTTTCTTTTATAAAACAAAAA